AGGGAATTCGCGACACGTGATTTGTTTTTCAATTGTTACATACTTCGCTCAGGGAAAATGTATGAGTGTACGGCTGGCTTCGACGCGTTTTTTTAATGTTTTCAGTGGCTTGATCTTGGAAATATAGGTACACATATTTTTTTGAGGGAATTTAATAAGCTACAAATTTTGTATTTTGTGAATTTTTTTTTTTAATTTTAATTAAGGTGCTATATCTCCTAAAATATTGAAGATAGACCTATAATATGAATATGTTTTTAATAGAAAATTTCCTAAGCTACAATTTCGGATTCTTATGATTTTTTCCTAAAATGAGTATTTTAGGAGTTATAGCCATTTTTCTATTATCTAGAATAGTTCATTTTTCACTATGAAAATACAATTAAAGCTCCTATATCTCCTAAAATATTGGAGATAGACCGATACAATTAATATGTTTTTGATAGAAAATTCCCTAAGCTACAATTTTCTATTCTTATGATTTTTTCCTAAACTCAATATTTTAAGAGTTATAGACACTTTTATAGTTCCTAAATGATAATTTTTAATTTTCCACTTCCTAAAGTTCCTATATCTCCTAAAATATTGAAGATAACCCTATAGTATAGTAACATTTTTTATAGGAAATTTTCTAAGCTACAATAATGATTCCTAATAAATTTTTCCTAAAATCAATATTTTAGGAGTTATAGCCACTTTTCTGTTACCTAAAACATGATAGCTTATTTTTCACTCTTAAAATACAATTAAAGTTCCTATATCTCCGAAAATATTGAAGATAGACCTATACTATGAATATGTTTTTAATAGGAATTTTCTTAAGCTACAATTTTGGATTCTTATAATTTTCTCCTAAACTCAATATTTTAGGAGTTACAGCCACTTTTAAGGTCCCTAAACAATAATTTTTCATTTCCCACTCTCTAGTCACTCCTAAAGTCCCTATATCTCCTAAAATATTAAAAATAGCCCCATAGTATAAAAATATTATTTATAGGAAATTTCCTAAGCTACAATTTCGAATTCTTATGATTTTTTCCTAAAATCAATATTTTAGGAGCTATGGCTACTTTTAGAGTCCCTAAACAATAATTTTTCATTTCCCACTCTCTAGTCACTCCTAAAGTCCCCATATCTCCTAAAATATTAAAAATAGCCCCATAGTATAAAAACATTTTCCCTAGGAAATTTCCTAAGTTACAATTTTAGCCTCTTATAATTTTCCTAAAATCAATATATTAGGAGTTACAGCTACTTTTAAGGTCCCTAAACAACAATTTTCCATTTCCTACTTTTTAGTCACTCCTAAAGTCCCTATATCTCGTAAAATATTGAAGATAGACTTATAGTATAAAAACATTTTTTATAGGAAATTTCCTAAGCTACAATTTGCGACTTATAATTTTTTCCTAAAATAATTATCTTAGAAGTTATAGCCACTTTTCTATCTCCTAAATTCCTACTATTTATTTTTATCAACATTCTCACTACTTAAGTCCCTAAATCTCCTAAAATATTGAAAATAGACCTATAGTATAAAAACATTTTCCCTAGGAAATTTCCTAAGCTACAATTTAAGCCTTAAAGAATTCCTCTAATCCCAACGGTAAACGAATTACAGCAATTTAAATATCTAAATCCACTGTAATTAGCTCTCGGTTAATAAAATAAATAGGAAGCGCTGTAAGATATCTGAGTGAGATATTTATCGGCGATTAAAAGAACGGAAGCGTACCATAAAGTTATTTTAATAGCGGAACCAGAGCACAACCGGTGGTAGGTGGTAGTTATATACGCGCGTCAATGTATGTCTATTGTTTTTCCATTCATAGTCATGTTACCGTGGCACAACCGGTGCACGCTGCATCTGAATCAGAATCAACTGCTGGCAAGTCACGTCTAGGCTACCCCGAAGCGGAATCAAGGAAGAAAGCTCCATATATTTACATACACACCGCCACGTACCTGCTAACCAATGGGAAAAATAATCGCGATAAAAAAAATGCAACATGAATACGTCTGCCCTTTTTTTTAAGTAAACAATAACTCCTATTTAACCTACCTCAATTACTGATTTTTATTATTAATTATTATTACCATTATATATACCTATGTTTCTATTATTCTTCACCCTCATTATCTTTTTATCTTTTATCTTTCTTCCTGGTACACTCCCGGGCTTTAGTTCTGACTCTCTCTTGCTCAAACTCTCGACTTCAAGTGGCTCTCGTCTCTTTTTTATCCTCCCACTCCCCCACCCCCCCGCCCTTTATTTCGCTTCTATTTAATTCTTTCTTCCTTATATGCATACATTTTATTTTTATATACAGTTTACTTCTCTGATTATTTTAATACTTTGTAACGTATTTCAGTAAGTGTTTTATGGAATTTTTCTCCGGAATATTTATAACACGCTTAAGAGTCTAGATTTTTTAATTATATGACAAATATTATTTTTTTTTCCGAGTTTTATAATCTTAAGCTAGAATTCTGGTCTCTTGTAATTTTTTCCTAAAATCATTATTTTAGGAGTTACAGCAATTTTTTTTAATGAAATTAGAATCTCATTATCTATAGGAAAAATGGCTATAACTCCTAATATATTGATTTTAGGAAAAAATTTTGGGACTATAATTGTAGGTTAGGAAATTTCCTCTAAAAAATGTTATTATACTATAGGTCTATTTTCAATATTTTAGGAGATATAGGGACTTTAGGAGTGACTAGACAGTGGGAAATGAAAAATTATTTTTTAGGGACCTTAATAGTAGCTGTAACTCCTAATATATTGATTTTAAGGAAATTATAAGAGGCTGAAATTGTAGCTTAGGAAATTTCCTAAGGAAAATGTTTTTATACTATGGGGCTATCTTTAATATTTTAGGAGATATAGGGACTTAAGAAGATTCGGCGGGATGAATTCTAGGAATTTGGGAGGAAAAGTAGCTGTAACTCCTAAAATATTTAATTTAGGGAAATTATAAGAAGCTGAAATTGTAGCTTAGGAAATTTCCTATAAAAAATGTTTTTATACTATGGGGCTATTTTTAATATTTTAGGAGATATAGGGACTTTAGGAGTGACTAGAGAGTGGGAAATGAAAAATTATTTTTTAGGGACCTTAATAGTAGCTGTAACTCCTAATATATTGATTTTAGGGAAATTATAAGAGGCTGAAATTGTAGCTTAGAAAATTTCCTAAGGAAAATGTTTTTATACTATGGGGCTATCTTTAATATTTTAGGAGATATAGGGACTTAAGGAGATTCGGCGGGATGAATTCTAGGAATTTGGGAGAAAAAGTAGCTGTAACTCCTAAAACACTTAATTTAGGGAAATTATAAGAAGCTGAAATTGTAGCTTAGGAAATTTCCTAAGGAAAATGTTTTTATACTATGGGGCTATTTTTAATATTTTAGGAGATATAGGGACTTTAGGAGTGACTAGAAAGTGGGAAATGGAAAATTATTGTTTAGGGACCTTAAAAGTAGCTGTAACTCCTAAAATATTGATTTTAGGAAAAAATCATAAGAATCTAAAATTGTAGCTTAGGAAATTTCCTATAAAAAATGTTTTTATACTATGGGGTTATTTTTAGTATTTTAGGAGATATAGGGACTTTCGAACTTATTATTTTAATTAAAAACGTTTAGAAATCTATATTATTAAGAGAATAAGAAAAATTTTGTGTCCAGGATAGTCATATGGTAAAATCGGATTTTTTAGCGAAATTTACTTTTACATTTAACTTTTAATTATATGACAAATATATAAAAGGGCTGTGAAGAAAAAAAAAATTTTTTTTTCTTACTTATATAATTCCCGCAAATTAAATCATAAAAATTATATAGACCCGCCTGTTCCGTTTGAAAGTTTTGACTGAATGCTTTCAATTAATTTCTAGTTTTTTATTTTAAAAAACGTTACTGAAAATCTAGTTTAAGAGATCTTGAGGCTTTAAACGATTTTTTTCAATACGCGAAAAAGTTTAATAACTCGCAATTATAAAAATATATTTAAATTAAAACAAATGTATGTTTACTAAATTACTTCAATTAACTCCAATTGCCGCGTTTAATTTACGGGGTCCTTGATCTAAAAAATGTATGAGTTTTAATTTTTAAAATAAATAAATTGAATTTTCGATTCTAAGTTTTTTACTACCGGAATTTATGGGCTGTACAATTTTTACAAGGACCATTAATGTCTTAAATACAATTGGCACACAAAAATACTCTACTTATTCAACTCAACGATCGTAATATATTTTAAATACGCTGGCATTGAAACATGAAATAATAATAAAATATAATATATACCTGCACCCTTAAGATATATATTTTAGTTCTCGGAGGAATATCTTACAAAGCAGTTTTGTTTTTTGACGAGTGAACTATAGAGTAATGTGACGTATAAATTTTTATCTAGAGGCTAATTTAAATTTATTAATGTATTTATATATTTTTTAACTTGAGTACTAATTCTTCAGTAATTTATATAACTCCTAAAATATTGAAGATAGACCTATAATAAATTACAATTTCCAAATTATAATTATTTGGAAACTGTTTTTTAATTTTTTTAATTATTAGGCTACGTAGATTGAATTTACAAATTTTAAGTTTTAAAAATTTGACTACTTCGTAATTCTTGAGTAATTAATTCAGTAGCGCATAATTAAAAACTGACAGTTCAAAACTCCCGCTCCTAAAAAAAGAATAGTAAATGTCGCAATAAATAACATAAATACGGTAAAAGTAATTAACAATAAGGCTTGGGTAACCAAAAATAATGAGGTCTTGGCCCGCTGATTATAAATTTTAGCCCTGTAAGCTTGAATTAGGGTAGAATAAAATAACAAAAGCATTAAAGTAGTAAAGTGTGTACAAAAGTAAAGTATTTGATTATTAGTGAGTGCACACGGGTATGTGTGTTAGTAACAGCAAGCAATCGCAGGAAATTGGAGAGCAATTATCCAGGATAGCGGTGTAAGAGCCGAAATGGGGATCGTGGTGAGAAGCTCGCCACAGGAATACGTTATAAGCATTCCTTATTCCTGTTCAGTTGGTTCTTCCCGTGCATTCGGTTCTTCGGCTAACTGTTAGATAAGATTGAATTGTCTGATTAATTTGTACTAACACTTCTAATTGCTAATTCGCAGGTAAAAAGTAAAAAATCTTTTACAATAAAATGGCTGTCAGTTAAATCTAGACTTTAAATTTATAGCTACATATTTTTGTAAATTGTTAATCTATTGGGGAGCCCAGTTGTCTAAGAGAATTATTTATAGAAGATGAATCTAGACGGTCGGAGAAATTAGCGATTAAAAATAATAATGTTAACAATCTAATTCTAAAATTCGCAACATCATATCTTGAGCATTCTTTTGTGATATCAGCAATACGTCTTTGGCAGAAGCTACCAGTGGAAGTATTAGATGCGAGTACCCTAGAGGTATTTAAAAAGAACATGTTTGAATATTTATTATCAATTGATCTCTAATATCGATTCGACGCCTTTGTTATAAATGTCCAATACATGTAATCTTGTCTATTAAGTTTGCGATTTAGTTCAATTTAAATCAATCTTAATTTAGTACCCTCAAGGTTTTTCAAATACCCTAAATTTTCGGTATTAATGCGCTTACCATAAATATACCGTTATAATTCTGAAATAATACGGTATTTCTGAGGTTATGTTGCCCAGTTTTGTTTACTATATAGTTACGCAGCATTTCTACTGTACTTTTGCTGCAAATTTACTAGAATAATACGATTAAATTACCGTACTCCAGAATTTTTACCGTAAAAAATCTATGTATTACCTATATAATATTCCTATAATTTTACAATAATAAAATGATATTTCTACGGTAATAATACCGAAGTTATACTGCAATTTTGCCGCTTATGATATAATTAAAAAAACGCCATTCGGCCACACCCGAAATGGAAGGTAGATTTCACTGATTGAAATTCTTGATAGAATGACGTACATAAGTCGGTTGTACTACTCATTGCCTGAAAATGGTTTAGTTGCACTCTTAACTTTGATAAAATAACTAAAAATGTCAATGCTATATACGTCAAATTAACGGTAATTTCATGAACTATCACATAAATTTTTCAAAAATTAGCTATCTCTGTTCAATCAAAAGTTATACATCAATGAAGTGGCCAAAAACGTGATTTTCACCTTTTTGAAAATTTTAAATGGCCGCCATTTCTAAACTAATTGATCGATTTTGCTCATCTTCGAACTCGTTCAAGGTAATTACCTAAAGAATATGTGTACCGAGTTTCATCTAAATCCGTTGAGAATTGTAGACGCTATCGTGTCCAAATATACATAAATATATAAACTTTTGAACCAATGCTAATTTTGAGCTTTACTCGACTATATAAGAGATAAAATGACAAAATTCCGTGTGAATTCCGACACAAGGTCCAATGCAATAGATAGATTTCTACGAAATAGCAAAAATTTAGTATTTTTTGTTGATTGCTGCATTTAAAGTCATATCATAAAAACTGTGCAGATTATAAAATTTTCATTTTTATTCCATTAATTCTTACGTTTTTCATTCTAATCAAACAATCATAGGAAGTAAAGCGTAGAGATTGTAGGATTTTTAAAGTTCAAAGATGAGTAAATAAGTATACAGTAAATATGCGGTACATTTACTGAATGCTGTTAATATTCCGTAATATTCCTATTGTATTGCCGTAAATATTCTGAATTTATTTCGTAATTTTTCTGTAATAATTCCGCAAAATCTGGCTAAAATAACTGAAGTAGGTAAACATACTGCATTAATATCGTATAAATATCGAATCTACGGGATTTCCAAAACCGCAAGTGACTTTCCTATCAAAAAAATCCATATAGGAAACCAGCCTGGATTCCCACATGGCGTTTTCGGATAGATTCCCATATGGTTTCCTATATAGGAATCCAGGGTAGGATCCTACATAGATTCCCATATTAATCAGACGAAAAAAAATTTATTTAAAAAATTAAAAATAATTATGAAGTAATTGCTATTAATTAATTATTAATTGAAATAAATTGTGAAAAAGGGATTTTGTAATTTTATCTAATGAAAAAACTGCTGGCGTCTGATGGACTTGAACCCGGTACCTCATGGGTGACAGTCTTCTACGCTACTCACTGGCCTAAGTCACGTTCTAACAAGGTCTATGTTTATTCCACTTATATAAATTCACTATAGGAATCCATATTTCCGATATGGATTTCCCATACAGGAATCCATCAACCCACAGGTTCCTATGTGGATTCCTATAGAAATTCATATGTCCTATGTGGATTTTCCATATAGGAATTTATGTATCCACAGGTTCCCGTGTGGATTCCGTCAGGAATCCACACTTCCTATATGGATTTTTTGAAAGGGTTTAAATCTCTAATTGTACTACAATTTTTTATCAGATCTCTTAATTGACAAACTGATAAATTGATAAATTAACAAGCGAGTACCATTAATGATGTAGCTTCATTAACAAGCTTTGCTTAGGTGTTTTACCGTTGAATTATTAAATCAAGTGTTGGAGTTTAGAGGAGCGTAACAATTACTATTGGCAGTGCGGTGCGATATGCGCCTGGCCATATCCATTGAGTATAATATGCGGTGATTGGCGTCGACTTACAACATACTAACATACTAGTTTGGCATCACTAGACGCGTTTAAACTCAGCCAAACTTTCTTACATTTATATCTCTCATCTACATACGATACATACGATACTCGTCTAATAACTATAAATTCAACCTCAGAACCACCAACTAGTTCCTACTTTTTATCTCATTCCCTTCATTTCTTCTTCTTCTTCTTCTTCTTCTTCTTCTACTTCTGCTTCCATATATACATTTATATTGCTTAATTATATAAATATAGGGGACCGCATTTAAGTTCTTATATGTACTTCTCTATATAATATTATATTTAATATAAGATTATTACAACAGAACGTACATTAGAGCGTATTAACCATATGCCTCTCTTTGGATCAGTTAATTGCGTACACGACGACCAATTAGTCGCTCGTCTACAGTCTACATCCTCAACCCTTTTAATTCTTCTTAATATCGACTTGTTTAACTTCATGTTATGATTGTGTAAGTTGTTTTTTTTGTTCGCTTATTATTGACGAATATTCTATGACAAATAATCAAAGGATTAAATAGTAAACTTTTAATTAACTTTTAATACTTGACAAACTTTCTCGATTATTTATCAAGTGTTTTTAACTTAATTTTTTTTACCATTAATTAATTTTACAAACTTTTTTAGTTTATTTCTTTATATTTTTACCAATCACTATAAAAATTAATTTTAACGTCAAATATTATTATTATTAATTAGAATTAGAAATTTCTTATATACATATAATGTGTGATATAAATAATTAAGTTTAATTTCTCCTCGAGTTTTATAAGTCTATAATATAGTAATGTAGTAATATAGCAATGAAAGAGAACTTGTGTCAAGTTGGATTAAAACCATTAAATTGTCTTGATATATGATGTGGGTGGGTCATCTTGAAGTCAAGTGGTTAGTCGCCATAGTCGTTTGCGTTTATATTGACGATCTGGCTAATTAAACTGCCCAAATTAAACAGCTCTTTATATTATCTACCAACATGACAGGTCATATAATAAAAAAAGCCCTTGCTGTGTTTTTTTTTACGGCATTAAAAATACTTTTTTTGATAATATATAAAATGTAATTTTTGTTTCGGTTTAATATTACCATTAACAGAATTATAAAAGTTTAAATTGAAACAGAAATATTTATAGAAAACTAATTACTGTGAAACAAAAGGTGTAGCACGTGAAAACACGTACTCGGAATAAAACAATTAGACTTATGGGCTACGCCCTTTTAAACCTCAGTGCGAATATTAAAAAATTTTTTCAATCAATACACCAAACACCAGCACAACCTAAACGACGGATTCTATAACAAATGTATGGAATCCTTTTTCGTAATTAATTTCAATTTTAAAAATTAATAAACTCAACTACGCCCAGGCCATTATTTAAAATTACCGTACTCGCGCTAGCGTGTTTGCTGTTTGGTTCATGAATATTAATAGATTTTTTTAATAATCGATACCCAAAGACCAGAAAGATGTTAACAGTCCTCACGGTTTTGGAAATAAAGCAAAGATTCGGTATTTATATGAAATTCTGTATATTTACCATACTTCTAGATATAGGAAGTGTGGATTCCTAACGGAATCCACACGGAACCTATGGATACATGGATTCCTATATGGAAAATCCACATAGGAAATATGAATTTCTATAGGAATCTACATAGGAACCTGTGGGTTGATGGATTCCTGTATGGGAAATCCACATCGCAAGTATGGATTCCTAAAGTGAATTTATATAAGTGGAATAAACATAGACCTTGTCAGAACGTGACTTAGGCCAGTGAGTACCGTAGAAGACTGTCACCCATGAGGTACCGGGTTCAAGTCCATCAGACGCCAGCAGTTTTTTCATTAGATAAAATTACAAAATCCCTTTTTCACAATTTATTTCAATTAATAATTAATTAATAGCAATTACTTCATAATTATTTTTAATTTTTTAAATAAATTTTTTTTCGCCTGATTAATATGGGAATCTATGTAGGATCCTACCCTGGATTCCTATATAGGAAACCATATGGGAATCTATCCGAAAACGCCATGTGGGAATCCAGGCTGGTTTCCCATATGGATTTTTTTGATAGGAAATGCACTTGCGGTTTTGGAAATCCCGCAGATTCGATATTTATACGATATTAATGCTGTATGTTTACCTAATTCAGTTATTTTAGCCAGATTTTGCGGAATTATTACAGAAAAATTACGAAATAAATTCAGAATATTTACGGCAATACTATAGAAATATTACGGAATATTAACGGCATTCAGTAAATGTACCGCATATTTACTGTATACTTATTTACTCATCTTTGAACTTTAAAAATCCTACAATCTCTACGGTTTACTTCCAATGATTGTTTGATTAGAATGAAAAACGTAAGAATTAATGGAATAAAAATGAAAATTTTATAATCTGCACAGTTTTGATGATATGACTTTAAATGCAGCAATCAACAAAAAATACTAAATTTTTGCTATTTTTTAATTATATCATAAGCGGCAAAATTGCAGTATAACTTCGGTATTATTACCGCAGAAATACCATTTTATTATTGTAAAACTATAGGAATATTATAGGTAATACATAGATTTTTTACGGTAAAAATTCTAGAGTACGGTAATTTAATCGTATTATTCTAGTAAATTTGCAGCAAAAGTACAGTAGAAATGCTGCGTAACTATATAGTAAACAAAACTGGGCAACATAACCTCAAAAATACCGTATTATTTCAGAATTATAACGGTAAATTTATGGTAAGCGCATTAATACCGAAAATTTAGGGTATTTGAAAAACCTTGAGGGTACTAAATTAAGATTGATTTAAATTGAACTAAATCGCAAACTTAATAGACAAGATTGGACATTTATAACAAAGGCGTCGAATCGATATTAGAGATCAATTGATAATAAATATTCAAACATGTTCTTTTTAAATACCTCTAGGGAACTCGCATCTAATACTTCCACTGGTAGCTTCTGCCAAAGACGTATTGCTGATATCACAAAAGAATGCTCAAGATATGATGTTGCGAATTTTAGAATTAGATTGTTAACATTATTATTTTTAATCGCTAATCTCTCTGACCGTCTAAATTCATCTTCTATAAATAATTCTCTTAGAAAACTGGGCTCCCCAATAGATAACAATTTACAAAAATATGTAACTAGAAAAAAAAAGTCTTATAGATATTTAACTGACAGCCATTTTAATTCTTGTCTATACAATATTATCGTAATCCATAAAAAAAATAATGGAACTTTCTTTTCGCTCTAGTTTAGTAGACGGTAATGTCCTCTAGATTTAATCTGAGATATTTGTCCGAATTAGGGTGTGCTAAGTTATGGGTGTTTATGTCACCCAAATGGGAAAAATATTTCGATTTAAATTGCTAGCAACTTTGTTTGTGACTACACGGAAAAATAATCACCCGGATAATTGATCTCGAATTAAACGGCATTGAATTCGCGAGGTTGCATCCCTATACATTATTATACTAATCCCGGAGTATTTTATAGTTCAAATATATATATACAGTAAAGAGTTAAGCGTTTAAGCCTCCAAGTTAAGCAACAGGTCACGTATTAAATTGTAACTGAAAGATTACCCTGTTTATTTATTTCGCTGATTATTCCGGATTGGCTGAAAAAAATTGCAGTTTTATAGATTAAATTATTTTATAGTATTAAAAGTGTATTAATAATTTTTTTAAAGAACTTTCTAAAAAAATTTTATTAAGGTAAAAGTACCCAGTAGTTGAACAATCGACTTTTAATCTATAAAGAAAATTAAATTATAGATTAAATAGACTTTTAATCTATAAAAATGTAATTATTAGTTAAAATTAGTGATTTTCATGAAAATATAAATAATTTCGATAAGCCAAATAACAAAGATAGAATATTTATATTTTGACAAAATTTTTAAGATAGACTATCAAAGGAGTAGTAGTTGAACAATCAATTCTGACAAGCCTTAGTAGTTTAACACTCCAGGAGCAGTAGTTTAACTAATAAAATATATGCCAATAGGCACATCAAAAATTTTCAACGTTTTATTGAAATATCTAAAGAATTATAACATATTATTGATTAATATTAAAAATAATACTGTCAATATTTAATATGTTCATTTAAAAATGATAAATATTTGTATTATACCGCCCCAGCTTGTTCAGGTTATGGGTACCGCTTTTAAAATTTCGAGGTATAGTTACACGCTAAAATTTAATATAAAAATTATAGTTTGTGTCTTTGCAAAAAATATGTATTATTTAGAAAAGACTATTTCATTGGGTGGAATAATTTTTTTTACTTAAAATACACCGTTTTTTTTTTACTGATTGTTCGGTTTACGGTTTAGTACTTTTTTCATGAAAAAAATAGCATCTATCTGCTATTCTCGACATGTAAACTTTTAAGTTAACAAAAATATAACTGTTTTGATTTATAATTGAAGAAACTTACAGAAATCAATTACTGTATCATTGAATAGTTATAAAATTCGCATATTACTCATAATAAATCGGATTTTAGGAAATCTACTAAGATGAATTGTAATTTTACAATCTTTATGTATAAACTTATCACGCATTGTAATATTATAATTGGTCAATTTTTAAGAAAAAGCTTTTTAATTTTACAAACATTATTTGTCATCTGATTCTGAATTGTATGTAAAATCACAAAAAAATATTGTAATTTATATTACAATAATCTCAAAAAATTTAAAAAGCTTTTTTTTATTTTTACAATTTTCATTGTAAAATTACCAAGTGCAATGTAATCTTACCCGACAATTTTAATTATATTACACGAATTATAATTCTATTTGACTGTTTTCCAATTTTAAAAACAATACTTTTAAGTTTTACAAAAATGAGACTGATGTATCGAAAAAACAACAATGTCCTTGATATTTATTTTTACTAATTTGTTAGTCTAAGTTTATTTGTAATAATAAATTCGAGGCATCATTTATCTTTTATAAATTTTAATATTACGCTCAAACGATCATTTCCAAATCAATATATTTTAATGAGTATATGTTAGACTTTAATTTTTATAATATTCAATGAATTATAAATAATGTAAAAGTTAGTTATTTTCCATCAATAAACAGCATCAAATAACACAAATAATGTAAATAATAAATAATAAGCCGTAAAGCTCAATCACCACATAGGATTAGCTTATAAGAATAATAAGATGTTAAATGACCTATCGGTCGTACGGCGTAGGGCGTTAGGTATCGGTCTGGCAAGTGCGCGGCTCGCGTTCGATTCTTAGTTAGGGTAAATATTATTTGTCACTTTATATCATCAGAGTTGTAAAAATTAGGTCTGCGTGAGATGCAAAATCTGGTCAGCGCTTCTTAAAAATAAAATGACAACAAATATTAAATCAAATCTTTCTTTTTTATTATTTCAATTACAGTAAAATTCAAGGAAAGTATTGTAATTTTACAAACTTAGCTAATCTAAAAATATTTTTAACATTACAAAACCTTGTAAAATTAGTAACCTCACATATGTTTTGTAATATTACTTCCGATTGTAATTTTAAATAAATATTTGGCCTATTAGCTTCCAATTCTTGTAAAATTACAATAGAAATTTTTAACAGTGCTACCTTAGTAATATTAATTTATGCTAATAAATCAAAGTTGAAGCTCCATAAATTTAAATCTAAAGACCATAAATATTGTCTAATTATATAAAATATCAGGGAAGAAGTCTGTAATTAGAGCGATAACTCAAAGAGAGTAAAAAAATAAATAAAAAAGACAACGTAAGCTTAAGATAAAATAAAAGTGAGAGTAAATTTTATAAAATGAATAAATAGTATGTTTGTAAATTTGGCAGGTGAATGCAGTAAATTCGCAGAGGTAAAAGTACCAGCAATAGTGGATCCTCGTGAAGAAAAAGTAATACTAGAGTGTAACTACAATCTCGGTGGCGAGCAATTGTATTCAGTTACTTGGTTGAAAGATGGTAATGAGTTTTTTAGGTATATGCCGAGCGCAATGCCAGGAAAATTACAACAGCAACACCAAAACTCAGAACAGAACCAGTACAAGCAAAAGCAGTCGTTATCGAGCAGCAGGGTTGTGGATTCGCCCGCCGCGGCGGCATTTAATGTACACGATGGGGTGGTGCAAGTTGAGTTGAGTGAAAGCAACGACAAACGTGTTGTCATACGACAACACTTGGGTGACAAGTGGATAAATGTAACCGGATCTTATGGTTGCCAAGTGTCCGGCGAAAGTCCCAAGTTTGATATTGTCTACGATGAGGCGGTTATTAACGTCGGTATACTCCCACAAAGAGATCCAGTCATCGAAAATCTCAGAGAACACTATGATATCGGGGAAACTCTCGACGCCCAGTGTATTTCTGCTCCCAGTTATCCCACAGCTCAATTGTCTTTTCTTGTCAACGGCAGAGAGGTGATTGATCCTTTTAATTACATTTCAATCCTTTTTTTTTCTGAGTTTTCTCTTTTTCTTTTTTATATAAGTCGGGTCAATAGTTATCATTGAAAAATGAATTATATCAGAGTAATTTTATAATTAGATTTTTGTAAATTGTTATCTATTGGGGAGCCCAGTTTTCTAAGAGAATTATTTATAGAAGATGAATCTAGACGGTCGGAGAAATTAGAGATTAAAAATAATAATGTTAACAATCTAATTCTAAAATTCGCAACATCATATCTTGAGCATTCTTTTGTGATATCAGCAATACGTCTTTGGCAGAAGCTACCAGTGGAAGTATTAGATGCGAGTACCCTAGAGGTATTTAAAAAGAACATGTTTGAATATTTATTATCAATTGATCTCTAATATCGATTCGACGCCTTTGTTATAAATGTCCAATACATGTAATCTTGTCTATTAAGTTTGCGATTTAGTTCAATTTAAATCAATCTTAATTTAGTACCCTCAAGGTTTTTCAAATACCCTAAATTTTCGGTATTAATGCGCTTACCATAAATTTACCGTTATAATTCTGAAATAATACGGTATTTCTGAGGTTATGTTACCCAGTTTTGTTTACTATATAGTTACGCAGCATTTCTACTGTACTTTTGCTGCAAATTTACTAGAATAATACGATTAAATTACCGTACTCCAGAATTTTTACCGTAAAAAATCTATGTATTACCTATAATATTCCTATAGTTTTACAATAATAAAATGGTATTTCTGCGGTAATAATACCGAAGTTATACTGCAATTTTGCCGCTTATGATATAATTAAAAAATAGCAAAAATTTAGTATTTTTTGTTGATTGCTGCATTTAAAGTCATATCATCAAAACTGTGCAGATTATAAAATTTTCATTTTTATTCCATTAATTCTTACGTTTTTCATTCTAATCAAACAATCATTGGAAGTAAACCGTAAAGATTGTAGGATTTTTAAAGTTCAAAGATGAGTAAATAAGTATACAGTAAATATGCGGTACATTTACTGAATGCCGTTAATATTCCGTAATATTCCTATAGTATTGCCGTAAATATTCCGAATATATTTCGTAATTTTTCTGTAATAATTCCGCAAAATCTGGCTAAAATAACTGAAGTAGGTAAACATACAGCATTAATATCGTATAAATATCGAATCTGCGGGATTTCCAAAACCGCAAGTGACTTTCCTATCAAAAAAATCCATATGGGAAACCAGCCTGGATTCCCACATGGCGTTTTCGGATAGATTCCCATATGGTTTCCTATATAGGAATCCAGGGTAGGATCCTCCATAGATTCCCATATTAATCAGGCGAAAAAAAATTTATTTAAAAAATTAAAAATAATTATGAAGTAATTGCTATTAATTAATTATTAATTGAAATAAATTGTGAAAAAGGGATTTTGTAATTTTATCTAATGAAAAAACTGCTGGCGTCTGATGGACTTGAACCCGGTACCTCATGGGTGGCAGTCTTCTACGCTACTCACTGGCCTAAGTCACGTTCTAACAAGGTCTATGTTTATTCCACTTATATAAATTCACTATAGGAATCCATACTTGCGATGTGGATTTCCCATACAGAAATCCATCAACCTACAGGTTCCTATGTGGATTCCTATAGAAATTCATATTTCCTATGTGGATTTTCCATATAGGAATCCATGTATCCACAAGTTTCCGTGTGGATTCCTTTAGTAATTCACACTTCTATACGAATCCATTCCTATATGAATTAAAAAATTTTTTTGATATTTTTAATTAAATAAAAAGAAAAATATCCATATAATTTTTATTTTTAATAAATAGAGAATTTCATCTTTTATTGTGTTGTACACTTACTTACTCATTTTTATCAAAATTCAAAATTTTTAGTTTTCCCGCGCTCTGTAAGATGGCGTTGCGCGCCGGATTAGGAACTACGTCACTCGCCCGCGAAAATTTAAATTCAAAAAATAATTTAAAATTTAAAAATCACTCTAAAAATTTTTTGATTAAATTAAAGTTAGGCAACTCTTTTTGTATTCTCAAAAATGTTATTAAAAATTAATTTTAAGATAACTAAAGTATCTCTACGTATTTTTTTTTATAGATATTTTTATTAGGAGAATACCAGTATATTATATAAATAATTATTTAAATTATAAACTTACATCAAAATCTAGATTCATAAATTTTTTTCAAGCGTTTTTTTCCCTAAAAAAAAATCAATTGAATTAATACAAGAAAAAAATTAAAAGCAATAATACCCAACTTACCAATATGTTTTGCTTAACATCTAAAAGTTTCGAAAAGCCATTTAAATAATTTTCCCGAAGATTTCCGCAATAAAATTTTATTTTAGTTATTTCGTCCCCAGATTGCATTACCAGTTTGGTTTCTTTATGCCTTATCTTTTCTTAACATTATTGCAGGTGGAGAAATCATTGACGACAGAATTCCCCAGTGTGGGAAGCGGCGTTGAGGGTAGCCTAGTCTCGACAACACGTCTCGGATTGTCAATGTCACTTAGCGATCAGGACTTTACTGCTACGTCAGCTCGGAGTCTCCATCTTGTCTGCCGATCGATTCTGCCAGGTATACCAGGTGCCAAGGCCCGCGAGACCAAAGCTATCATTTACCTTTCTGCCAGCAACCAGAAACTCGCCCAAGAAGCGCCAACCCCATTCTCCTCCCGAGCAGACACCAATTCTCATCATCACTATAAATTATTTTTATCTTACACCGTCATCCTCGCCCTCTTCAATTTTAACAGCGTGCTCTAGTCAGCCGATTACACCACAAATAAAAATAATAATAAAAAAAAAAAAAATAATAATAACAAAATAACCAAAAAATTGTAAATAGCTCAATTTAATTAAATCTTTTTTTTTCTCTCTATTTTGTCGTGAATTTTTATTCCTAAATTTTATTCTCGTTTAATTTAAATGCTCAAGTAATTCTTTAGATCCTGCAAAAAATCCCACCTGTAATAGTAATAATAATAATAATAATGATAAATATAATTTAATGTATGAATTCTATATCCGTAAAACTTTTTTACGGTTTCGGGGATTTAGACAAGAGGAGTCTTTGCTTGGAAGCTCGTACTACCGAAATTGAAACGTGTAATCGCGACAGCAGAAGCCAGCCCCGGAAAAAAAATTTATCTTTTTTTTTTTGTAGCTCATCCGCTGAATTAAAGGATCATTTTAACATGAGGATAACTTCGATAGGACATAAGGGGAATTTAATTGCTGATTAAGTGGCGGCTAATGAGAGGGCGTTAAGGATTAAAGATAATTTTGTTTTTTGTTAAATTGTGATGTACTTTCTTAAATATTGACAATTTTTTATATATAAGCTCATTTTGGTGTTACAGGAATCAAGAGCTTTCATTTGAGTACCCACATGCATTTTTGATATATTTTTCATATATACATATATATATAATATATATAAATATATGAAATATATGAAAAATTGATGTGGGTATTCAAATGAAAGGTTTCGATGAGTGTAACATCGGGATGAGCTTATTTCTTTGAAAATTTCAATATTTCACAAGATACAAGGTCATTTCTTAATCATGTATCTAGAGATAATTTCGAATGCAGCCTAAATATCGTAATAAATAGATTATCGGTGATAATAATATAAAACCTTGAAAAGGCACAAATTTAAATCAAGACCTTTGCAATGACACTAAATTTCACTAAAAAATCCGATTTTATCATATCACTATCCTGGACACAAAATTTTTCGTATTCTCTTAATAATATAGATTTCTAAACGTTTTTTTTTTGTATTTACTCGAAGTATGCATTAGTTTAAGTAACTATTGATAAATAGTTATATGGACTGTGTTTAAATAAATATTTTTTTATCGTGTTAAACAAAAAATAATTAGGTGACTGAAAGGTTGTTACGGACGATGGCTCAGATAGCTTAACTGTCCGAGCTGTTGGTGCTTGACCAAAAGATCCGGGTTCGATTCCCGGTCCGGGCTAAAACAATTATTTTTTCTTTTTTCTCAGTTAAACTTAATAAAGATTACTATTAAGCCGATATTTAACTAAAAATAGTTTAAGTAACTATCTATTGGGGTTCAATATAATTTATTATTTTAGGTATAAGAACTTCTATTAAATAGTGGTGATGCTATTTAACTAGATTTTGCTAGTTCAGAGAACCAGATTTTTCTCTCAGTGTAGCCTAAAAATCAAGCTTCCAACGATTAGTTACATTAAATCGTTAGTTTTGATATCACAAGTTTAAAATGATCTGGCAATTTTATAATTTTCAAAAATTCATAAATACTCGGTGGAATTTTTTTTTAAAGGTTCTTGAAAATAATCCTAAAATTTAGTTGGTGATTTTTAAAAGTAATTATAAGAAACCTATAAATGCATTAAAAATAATTCCATGAATTTAAGCTTTCTATTAGCTAAAAATCAAGATTCCAAAGTTTTGTCACATTAAATCGTACTATTGCACGCCTCATAGCGCGAAGCGCGTGAGGTTGTGCTTTATACTCGACTCGTCAAGGTCAAGCAATTTTGTGATCTTTAAATGCCTCTATCACAACCATATTACACTTATACAATAATATAAGTAGATGTACACCGAGAAAACACTTAAATTAAACCATCTTTTACTTTCTAAAATCATTTCATGCTGCTATTTTGAAAAAAAAAATGTTTTAAAAAAAATTTTACGTGGACGTCCTGATGTCACTCCATTTTGGATGTAACAACGATTACTCCCGAACAAATAGATATTTCAAGACCGGACCTTTTTTATTAGTTTAAGAATTCGATTAACTGGGTCCGTATTTAATATCAGTAGCCTAGTTTACGTATTTGTTTTTTTAAATTGAATTTTTATTAAAATTCACTACGATACAACCGTACAAAGACAAACGAACTTTTCTTATTTGTCACGTGAAAACTATGGCGCCACTTGATCAAGCTAGATTTTTTTAGACTAAGTGCGCATATGACAAGAAAAAAGGGCGCCGATATTTAAAAAAAAAATAAGAAATTACTTAATTATTTATTTTTTTTACACAATTTATTTTCCAAATTTTTTTTTAATTTCATTTTCCCATTTAAATAGCAGTGATGCTATTTAACAAAATTTTTCTCTCCTATAATATTTCCCTAAAAAAAAAACAATTGTCTAGCTCATTATTATTGTTTTGTTTAAGTGGGTTATATAGTTTGTCGTGGTATAAGCAGAAGCAGAAGCAAAAGGAGTGAAAGCGGACGGTAGATGTTAGCTGTTGGATGGTGACTGACTAAAATCCTCTCCATCTCCATTATAATAGAGTTGAGTTGAGTTGGTAGCTGGTTATAGGCATTCAAGTACGCGTATGTTAAACCCAGGACATTGTTGTGTGCGTTATAGGTGTGCAATGTGTTAGAAGCGCACATATGTACGTACAAACTGCTGGAGGCATGCTGTGGGTGCCGGGAAGTTGCCGAGTCAAGAGTAGAATTGTATGGGAGGCACGTTGTCGTGGGTTAAACACCCAGAGGCTACCAATTCTGTTCCTGGCAACTGGTTTTGCTGAATCTGGGTGGTTCTTCTGGTTCTCCTGGTGCAGGACCACCGCCAAAAGGTAGCTCATACTTCCTCCAGCCTCCAGATCCAGAAAAGCGCTTTTAAATTCGCAAAAACATCCAGGTATCCCAGAGCTAAGCTTTTACACGTCAGTTAGAGCCCACTACGGACAATACAATGGTACTCGTATATTTTATTCTAATACACACCCTGTTATATGAAAGCTCGGGGATAAAATATATAGAAGGCACTCATCACGGTACACAGCCCTGCATTCTAAGCATTTTTATTCTAACATTAAAATAAATATTAACGGAGGGAGTAAAGAAGAAAAAAAATGCCCTTTTTGGTTGGTGATATCAAATGCCGTGTGTACTTACTTTTATCGCGTTTGCCTACGCTTTAATTCCAGTCACATATGCAAACTCACGTAATACCTCGACACCTATAACACCTATAACACCTGCGTGTCCAATATCAAAAATGATACTTTTTTTATTCATTTAATATTCTGTTTAAATTACTGAACAAATCTGGGGTAATTGCTGAAGACTAAAATAAAAATCCCGTTCATTATGCTATTTCTGTTTTTATGCATTATACAGAGAGAAAAAAACGTTTGGAAAATCCTAAAGTGCACGACTCATAACGCTCATTCATTTTTTAAGAAAAAAATAAATAATTAAGTAATTTCTTATTTTTTTTTAAATATCGGCGCTCTTTTTTCTTGTCACATGCGCACTTAGTCTAAAAAAATCTAGCTTGATCAAGTGGCGCCATAGTTTTCACGTGACAAATAAGAAAAGTTCGTTTGTCTTTGTACGGTTGTATCGTAGTGAATTTTAATAAAAATTCAATTTAAAAAAACAAATACGTAAACTAGGCTACTGATATTAAATACGGACCCAGTTAATCGAATTCTTAAACTAATAAAAAAGGTCCGGTCTTAAAATATCTATTTGTTCGGGAGTAATCGTTGTTACATCCAAAATGGAATGACATCAGGACGTCCACGTAAAATTTTTTTTTAAAACGTTTTTTTTTTTTTATCAAAATAGCTACATGAAATGATTTTAGAAAATAAAAGATGGTTTAATTTAAGTGTTTTCTCAGTGTACATCTACTTATAATATTGTATAAGTGTAATATGGTTGTGATAGAGGCATTTAAAGATCACAAAATTGCTTGACCTTGATGAGTCGAGTATAAAGCACAACCTCACGCGCTTCGCGCTATGAGGCGTGCAATAATACGATTTAATGTGACAAAACTTTGGAATCTTAATTTATAGCTAATAGAAAGCTTAAAGTCATGGAATTATTTTTAATGCATTTATAGGTTTCTTATAACTACTTTTAAAAATCACCAACTAAATTTTAGGATTATTTTCAAGAACCTTTAAAAAAAAATTCCACCGAGTTTTTATGAATTTTTGAAAATTATAAAATTGCCAGATCATTTAAAACTTGTGATATCAAAACTAACGATTTAATGTAACTAATCGTTGGAAGCTTGATTTTTAGGCTACACTGAGAGAAAAATCTGGTTCTCTGAACTAGCAAAATCTAGTTAAATAGCATCACCACTATTTAATAGAAGTTCTTATACCTAAAATAATAAATTATATTGAACCCCAATAGATAGTTACTTAAACTATTTTTAGTTAAATATCGGCTTAATAGTAATCTTTATTAACTTTAACTGAGAAAACAGAAAAAATAATTGTTACAGCCCGGACCGGGAATCGAACCCGGATCTTTTGGTCAAGCACTAACGGCTCAGACAGTTAAGCTATCTGAGCCATCGTCCGCAACAACCTTTCAGTCACCTAATTATTTTTTGTTTAACACGATAGAAAAATATTTATTTAAATACAGTCCATATAACTATTTATCAATAGTTACTTAAACTAATGCATACTTCGAGTAAATACACAAAAAAAACGTTTAGAAATTCATATTATTAAGAGAATAAGAAAAATTTTGTGTCCAGGATAGTGATATGATAAAATCGGATTTTTTTAGTGAAATTTAGTGTCATTGCAAAGGTCTTGATTTGAATTTGTGCCTTTTCAAGGTTTTATATCATTGTCACCGATAGTCAATTTATTATGATATTTAGGCTGCATTCGAAATTATCTCTAGATACATAATTAAGAAACGACCTTGTATCTTTTGTAAAATATTGACATTTTTAAAGATATAAGCTCATCTCGACATTACACTCATCGAGACCTTTCATTTGAGTAGCCACATCAGTTTTTCATATATTTTATATATTTATATATATTATATATATGTATATATGAAAAATATATCAAAAATTCATGTGGGTACTCAAATGAAAGCTCTTGTTGAGTGTAACATCAGGATGAGCTTATATTTTAAAAAATGTCAATATTCAAGAAAGTACAGTGCAATTTCACAATAGTCATTATTTAATAAACCAAAATTTTATTTATTTATATTTCACAAATCACAGCAGTCACGTAGTGACTGCTAAGTTTCTAGTATTATAATAAAAATATAAAAATACATTCCAGTAAATTGCGCCAAGCTATGTAGCTTACAGAAACTAAAATAAAACGGAAAAATAGTTGACAATAACCGAAAGGAAGGCAATAAAACGAAAATATGAAATTTTCGATTACAGGTAGGTGGAAAATGTAATTGTGGAATTCCCCCAAACGGTTGTAAATAAATCTAAAAAGTTTTTTCCGAGGGAAAAATGTATGTGTAGGTATCCTCGGATATCCGTCCGTCAAATATACCCACCTGAAGCACTTTCAATATCCTGTCTGTATTTTGAGAAAATAAAAACTAAAAAAAAAAGGTGAATGCAAGCCCTGTAGGCATTATAAATCGATGCTTTGACTTTGTCGGTCAATGACATCCTCTATATATATGTATATTAAAAAAGAATAGACTCGTCGCAAGTCGCAATGTCGTATAAGAGGGTGATTTAGAGTAGATAAACAAAAGAAACGGAATAGTATAATTCAACTTGGCAAACGGTATATAAGTAAAGAGAGAGGAAAAAAGTATAAATCGGTAAGAGCTAGGCAGCGGTTGAGATTGGATGGCAATGGCTTTTCAAAAGCATATAGCTAAATCTCCTTCTAAAGAGGATTCTTCTGTTTTCTGCGAGGTAAGCGACCACCAAGAGGACTCTAAGGCCGAATTCAATCGATTCAAATAGACTAACTAGAGTTTAGAGAGAAGAGCAACTTTAAATCCAATTGTCCGTCGATTTGCTCCAAATTAGCAGTCGGCTTTTATTTTGAAAGTATAATTTTTAAAAGTATTCAGTAGTTGAACGGGTTTCAATGTAAAATGTATTGACCTTACACAAAAAAAAAAGGTTTTAAAAATTTCTATTGTAATTTTACAAGAATTGAAAGCTAATAGGCCAAATATTTATTTAAAATTACAATCGGAAGTAATATTACAAAACATATGTGAGGTTACTAATTTTACAAGGTTTTGTAATTTTACAAATATTTTTAGATTAGCTAAGTTTGTAAAATTACAATACTTTCCTTGAATTTTACTTTAATTGAAATAATAAAAAAGAAAGATTTGATTTATTATTTGTTGTCATTTTATTTTTATGAAGCGCTGACTAGATTTTGCATCTCACGTAGACCTAATTTTTACAACTCTGATAATATAAAGTGACAAATAATATTTACCCTAACTAAGAATCGAACGCAAGCCGCGCACTTGCCAGACCGATACCTAACGCCCTACGCCGTACGACCGATAGGTCATTTAACATCTTATTATTCTTATAAGCTAATCCTATGTGGTGATTGAGCTTTACGGCTTATTATTTATTATTTACATTATTTGTGTTATTTGATGCTGTTTATTGATGGAAAATAACTAACTTTTACATTATTTATAATTCATTGAATATTATAAAAATTAAAGTCTAACATATACTCATATTAAAATATATTGATTTGGAAATGATCGTTTGAGCGTAATATTAAAATTTATAAAAGATAAATGATGCCTCGAATTTATTATTACAAATAAACTTAGACTAACAAATTAGTAAAAATAAATATCAAGGACATTGTTGTTTTTTCGATACATCAGTCTCATTTTTGTAAAACTTAAAAGTATTGTTTTTAAAATTGGACAACAGTCAAGTAGAATTACAATTCGTGTAATATAATTAAAATTGTCTGGTAATATTACATTGCACTGGGTAATTTTACAATGAAAATTGTAAAAAAAAAGCTTTTTAAATTTTTTGAGATTATTGTAATATAAATTGCAATATTTTTTTGTGATTTTCATGAAAATATAAACAATTTTGATTAGCAAAATAGCAAAGATAGAATATTTATATTTTGACAACGTTTTTAAGATAGACTAATCAAAGGAGTAGCAGTTGAACAATCAATTCTTACAAGCCTTAGTAGTTTAACACCCCGGGAGCAGTTGTTGAACTAATAAAATATATGCCAATAGGCACACCAAAAATTTTCAACGTTTTATTGAAATATCTAAAGAATTATAACATATTATTGATTAATATTAAAAATAATACTGTCAATATTTAATATGTTCATTTAAAAATGATAAATATTTGTAATTAATTTTTTAATTATATTTTTTATAAATGACAAAGCAAATTTTCAATTATAAATCAAAAAAACTCTATTCAAAACGTTCAATAATTTTTAACTACACTAATTATTAGCTATAAAACTTATTTAATTTGCAGTAATTAATACAAATGACAATGCTGATCACTAGTCGATAAACCTATTAGAGATTAGAGTGTTGTTAAAATTATACGGCCCCAGCTTGTTCAGGTTATGGGTACCGCTTTTAAAATTTCGAGGTATAGTTAGACGCTAAAATTTAATATAAAAATTATAGTTTATGTCTTTGCAAAAAATATGTATTATTTAGAAAAGACTATTTCATTGGGTGGTACAATTTTTTTTACTTAAAATAATATACCGTTTTTTTTACTGATTGTTCGGTTTACGGTTTAGTAGCTTTTTCATGAAAAAAATAATCTATCGGCTATTCTCGACTTTTAAGTTAACAAAAATATAATTGTTTTGATTTATACTTGAAAAAACTTACAGAAATCAATTACTGTATCATTGAATAATTATAACATGCGCATATTACTCATAATAAATCGGATTTTGTATTACAACAATTCGAAAAGTCTGTTCAAGAACTGGTCCTATTTTTATAAGTGTTCAAGTGCTTACTTTACTTTACTTTAAGTTATTTTTCTTTTTATTTTGCATAAATCTAACTTCGGATCAAGGTTCTTGGATCCTCATGTTGATTTTTGAAGGGCTTTACATTTACAGAATGGAATTTATTGAGATGTACGAGTTATATCTCCGGGGACCCAGGTAGAGATCCAAGAGGAAATTTAACGCGTGAAAACGTCAAGGTTGTACACGCGAGACCGAATATGTGACTCAGAAGAACACCCTCGTGCAAGATAAAGCTTCTAAGGGGGAGATACCGCCCTCGTACTCCCTCGTGCACAATCCAAAATTATATCGAAACACTACAATGCTTCCAGTAAATTTTTTATTACCTCACAGTCAACAAAATTCAACTTTTCTGTTCGAGAAAAATGGATTTGACGAGGGTGATATGTTCAGTTCGTTTAAAAAATTTGAATTTCCATTTCTTTTGATAGCAAAAGAGAGGTTTTATAAATTTATAAATTTAGAAGATTTTTAAATTAGAAACGTTATTTTTGTATAAATCTAACCGTAGAATAAGTACACTGAGTTTCAGAAAGATCGGTCAAGAACTTTAGGCGCAATCCTGCTTACATGCCGCTCTCTTCCGTAGATGTAAACTTTTCGGCTGATTAAACATATCCAAAAATTTTCTTTAAATTCCGACGTCCCGGCTACAATATCTACATTTCTAAAGAAATCTTCCTAAAAAATCTTTTAATTATTATATCTCGACAACAAAACGATAATAAGCTACTTTATATGTAGATTTCTTTATAAATCTGTTGCAGAGGTACTTTTGTAGGAATTAACATAAAATTTTGCTATAATATGTTTTATTTTGTTGAGTTATACCGAAAAATAGCTCAAAAGTTTATATATGTGATAGAACCGGGGTGTAAGCACGATTACGGCTGCAATTCTTTACGGATCTCGATCAAACTCAATACATTTATTCTATCAACGATAATCTCGGTCAAGTTTGAAAAAGGGGCAAATCGGTCCATTAGTTCCAAAGTTGTGGGTAAGAGAAAAATTTTTTCATTCTCATTAAAATATTTATTTAACGAGATTTTCCCAAATAAATTAAAAAGCATAATTGATAACTTAATTCTGGCAATTGTTATTTTAAAGTTCATGTAATTATCAATTTACCTTATTATAATTTCTTTTTAAATAATTTTAAATATTTTTTCTCCAGCTTATAAAATCAGCAATATTGAACAATTTATAGTGATCCGGCAACGCCGTACGCAACGTTCCCTGTAATAGTGTAGCATAAAAAGCGGGAAATTCAAATCTTTCACGGTTTTCAAGAGCAACGTTGCCAGATCACTAGAACTAACAATATGTAATTGTATATGTGAACGTCTGTGTGCCGAGGCTTTAAAATTTTTGTCTATAGTAAATGCTCTGACTATACTATACCACGCTGGAACTACGTTAAATTTCATAAGCTGTAGGTTTAACAAAACCAACTAAAAACGTTATAAAAATTTTTTAATTAATGAAATGGAGCTGGGATTTAAAAAGGATTAGTCTTAAGAAATGTAAAAATAAAAACAGACCTCATATTTTTTTTTGTAATTAAAATTATTCTTTTAATCACAAAAAAAAATTATTCAAGTCCATTTAAACAATTAAAAAAAAAAAAAAAAAAGAATGTTCTATATAATTTACATATTAAATCGAGATTTATTGGAATGAGTTACATTGGCAGTAGTAGCGTAAACGTAAAAGCAAAATGTTATAAATGAAAACAGAATTTACGTATGTTTACATATTTTTAAACTCGTCAGTCCCGTTGGCGTTTAACATAAGAATATTTGGATTTTCTTTCTCGAAGGCTGTTGCGTCTCTGCCTCCAGGTCTTTCCTCTTGTCCCCATTCGCCGAGAGTTCCTTGCATTACATCCGGCTGTCGTCTCAAAAACTCCTCTTCTTTCTGCAGTATATAACATTACTAAAAAATTTACCCAGGATAATAACAAGCAATTAATAAATTAGTTTATTAAATAAATTAATAGAGAAATTGTAAATTTTTCTTTTAAATTCAATTAAAATTGTTAAAAAAATTAAAAGAACTTTTTTAATTAATTTATTAGAGTGATTTTTCAATTTTAAATTATTTTTTGAATTTGAATTTTCGCGGGCTAGTGACGTAGTTCCTAATCTGGCGTGTGGCGCCATCTTACAGAGCGCGGGAAAACTAAAAATTTCAAATTTTTCTAAAAATTGTTTTAAATAAGTGTAAAAAAAAAAAAATAAAAAATGACAAATAAGATCTCTATTTATTAAAAATAAAAATTATATGCATATTTTTCTTTTTATTTAATTAAAAATATCAAAAAAATTTTTTAAGGAGATCCAAGTGCCCTCCTAGTGTAAAGAATGTCTATAAAAAAATAATACGTAGAAATACTTTTATCTTAAAATTAATTTTTAAAAATTAATAACATTTTTGAGGAAATTTCCGATAAATTTACTCATTAAATAATTATTTACACTCTGAATTACCGGTATACACTTGACAACACCGCTTGAGTGTCCCTAACCTTAAAATTAATTTATGTTTACTGTCTAACTAAACTGACTAAGATCATCTAGCATTTAAAAAACCGCGGTTACTTATGCTTTGAGTAACTGCGCAAGCGGTGTTGCCGAGTCAAATACAAGACTTTACAAAACGCAAGTGTCCGAGTGATTTTTCATAAAAATTCTAAAATATCTCCGTAAGCCGTTCTGAAAGCTACTTTTTTTTGTTTTAATCTTTAGCTTCATATTTTTTCAATCAAATTCAATGAAAATAAAATTTTTTTAAAATCGTTAATTGCATTAAATTCTTAACCAAATCGGCTGGTGGAATCTCCATCTATAAATTACAATTTTCAAAGCTAATTATTTGGAAACTGTTTTTTAATTTTTTTAATCATTAAGCTACGTAGATTGAATTTACAAATTTTTAGGTTTAAAAATTTGACTACTTCGGATCTCCTTGATTAAAATAAAAAAAAAAAAATTTTTTTTGAATTTGAATTTTCGCGCGCGTGTGACGTAGTTCCCTATCCGGCGTGTGGCGCCATCTTACAGAGCGCGGGAAAACTAAATTTTTTTAATTTCCCGCAAAATTAATAAATAAGTATAAAAAGTGATAAAAAATGAAAAACAAGTTCTCTATTTATTAAAAAATAATTATTATAATTAAATAATCACCTGTTTATCGGCTTTTGCCATTTTTTCAAACATATTCGCGTAAAGCTTTTTCTCCTGGGCGCGGTTTTTCTGTATCAATTCTCGGCAAGCTGCAATCTGCTTTACCGCAGCAGTATTGCTCGGCTCTATCTTGGTGACCATCTCAAAATCTTTCTTAGCTTCCTCGGGCTGAGAAAGCGCCAGTAAAGCTTGCCCGCGCCTGAACAGAGCTTTCTCATTGCTACTATCGATCGCAAGGGCTTTAGTGCACGCGTTTTTCGCTTCAAAGTTGTCGTTTATCTTCAGGTAAAACAGTCCAAGGTTCAAGTGAGCCGACAAGAGCAATTGGTCGCGCTCTGGTTTCAATTTCTCGTCAAATTCGCTGTCGCTCTCCAGATACTCGACTATTTTTCGGGACATCTTTATCGCCAAGTGATATTTACCAGCCTTGAAGTAGTTTGTTGATTTTTCTTTGCTTATCTTCGCTTGCTCGATTATTGTAGCGGGTTCCATTGTCCAGACGTCTGCAAGCTGCAATTTATTATTGTAATCATTAATTAAATTCATTTTAAATTAATAAATTTTTTTTTTTAATGTAATATAACATTGAAAATTATTAATTTAAATTTTTAATTAATTTTTTATAAATTATTCATTGAATTAAAAATTAATTGGAGTAAAATTTAATTAATGATTTTTAGTTTATTAATAAAATATTTTTAATAAATTTATTTTCTAATTTAATAAATAAAAATTTTTAATATTTTTAAATTAATAAAATGATTAAGTACCTTTTCAAATGATTTCATTTCAATGATGTACTCAAGATCAGCATCAGGTGGAATATTGAACTCTTTATTTCCAGTTTTTTTGTAAGCAAACTTGCTTTTAATAACCAACCTAGATTTTTCTCCAACACGGAATTTGGCAAGTGCAGCTTCTACTCCCTCGACAATTCCTTGGTCTTCGCCTTCTCCGAGGTTGAAAGTTACATCTCGTTCCTCGAAGATTTTGTCATTGTACTTTCCCACCAGGTGAACTATAAAAGGAAATAAATTAAATTAATATAATTAATAAAATACTAGCAACCTAGCAGTCACTACGTGACTGCCGTGACTTGTAAAGTATGAATAAATAAAATTTTGCTTTATTAAATAATGACTTTTGTTAAATTGCACTGTACTTTCTTAAATATTGATGTTTTTAAAAATATAAGCTCATCCTGATGTTACACTCATCAAGAGCTTTCATTTGAGTACCCACATGCATTTTTGATATATTTTTTATATATTCATATATTCATATATATATAATATATATAAATATATATAATATATATGAAAAATTGATGTGAGTACTCAAATGAAAGGTCTCGACGAGTGTAAAATTAGGATGAGTTTATATTTTTGAAAATGTCAATAGTTCACGAGATACAAGGCCATTTTTAAATATTGACCTTTTTTAAGATATAAGCTCATCCCGATGTTACACTCATTAAGACCTTTCATTTGAGTACCCACATCAATTTTTCATATATTTTATATATTTATATATATTATATATATGTATATATGAAAAATATATAAAAAATGCATGTGGGTACTCAAATGAAAGCTCTTGATGAGTATAACACCAGGATGAGCTCATATCTTTAAAAACATCAATAGTTAAGAAAAATACAGTAGAATTTAACAAAAGTCATTATTTAACAAAGCAAAATTTTATTTTTTATAGATCATAAGTCACGGCAGTCACGTAGTGACTGCAAGGCTATTAAAAATAATTTAGTGAAATTTTTTAAGTCTCTACTTAGGAATTATTTAAAAATAGCTTAATAAAAAATTCCCTTTAATCCAAAAAAAACAAATTCAATAGAAAAATCATAAAAAATTTTCTTTCATTTCCAACTAAAATAATTAATTGAGTAAACAATTTTATTAAAAATTCCCTTTGATCTAAAAAAAATTCAATATAAAAATTATAAAAAAATTTTTTCTAATGAAAATTAATTTAGCCGATATTTTATAACTCTTAAAAATTTTTGTAACAAATAAATTATGGGAAAAAAAACTTAGAAAAAAAAATTAACATATAGAATAATTTTCTAAATAGAAATAAATAAAAAAAAAAATTGAATATAAAAATGAATAAAAAAAAAAACTGAATATAAAAATTAATAAAAAAAAAAATTCAATTTGAAAATTAATAGGATAAATGCACTAATTATTGACCGATTAAGGTTTTCTTTTTCCGTACTAAGCTATAAAAAATCTATAAACCTACTAAAAACAATTTGTAATGGATTTTATTAAAGTTAAATACTTAATTAATAATAATTAATAACTATTTATAATAAAAATTAACAAAATTATATTAATTTTGTTATTTGAATCTTGAAATACTAAAATCACCAATTATTGACCGAAGAAACCCAATAAATGACCGACCGTTCTCCAATTAATTCACCGCTCAAATAATTATAAGTAATTTTGTAAACCACATGTATGTAATTAAATTTATGGAGTACTTTTAAGTATTAACGACATCTTTAACAAAACTAAACACACAATATAATTTTAAATCGTACTTTTTCATAAAATAATATAAATAATAGCAATAATTAACAAAAAGTCACATTTCTTTAGGTCACAAATAATCAAAAATTAATTTTGATGACGATAATTCTTCTGATTAACTTAAAATTTTTTTATTCTTCTCCTTCTTTTTTTCAATTAAAGATTTTTTACTAGCTTGTAACTCTTTTTGATTTTTTTAATTGCTTAGCAATTTTTTCTTCTAACAATTCGTTCTTTGATATAACCGTTCACTAAAAAAATTAGAACAAAATAAAATTTAATAATCAAAAAAGATTTTAAATATTATTTTAATTATAGGAAAAAACCAGAGGTCAAATATGACTTTTATAAAATAGAAGCGATGCAAAATTACGAGGTACTAATACTTTAAGAAAAAAAAAAACCCTTGTAAAATCAACTAATTGGTGACCGGTCAACAACTGGTGCATTTACCCTAAATAAAAACTGACTATAAAAATTAATAAAAAAAAAAAACATTCAATTTAAAAATTAATAGAATAAAATTTGAATATAAAAATTAAAAAAAAAAAAAATTTTTTTAAATTCACTAGCAAGAATTTCAAAATTCTTGCTAAAAATAATTAAATCAAATTCATTAATTTAATTAAATTAAATTAACTATAAAAAAAAACTTACTTTGCACCAAAGCACCATCATTAGGACACCCCTCGTCCTTATTCCCAGCGACAATCTTGAACCTCTGAATACTAGCGTCCTTATTAGGACTCAAGTCCTCGCCAGCCCAGTCAAGAACCTCAACCTCAAATTTAAGAGTCGCATCTGGAGGAATAGTCGGCGGAGATCCACTCTTGCCGTAAGCGTACTCAGAATCACAAGTAAGTATGGCGACCTCGCCCTTCTTCATAGTAGCAACTCCGATGTCCCAAGCCTTGATGACCCGGCCCTCGCCCAGCTCGAACTCAAAAGGTTCTCCCCGGTCCTTGCTGGAATCAAACTTAGTGCCATCCAGGAGAGTTCCGGTGTAGTGGACCTTAACTTTTGACCCCGGTGCCGGTGTCTCTTCCCCGACACCCTCTTTCAGGATCTCCTTCAAGACTCCTCCGTCGTTGTTCGGCGAAATGTCGACAGCCATTCTAAGGTTAGTATTACAATTGTAATTAATTTATAAATTTATGAATTAATAAGACATTTTTTTTTATATAATTATTTTTGTCTTGCTCTAGAAAATTCTGATGACTTACCTGGACAATTTTTATAACAATTATAATTTATAATTTAACTATTGTATTAAAATCGAGAATGTTCACACGCTAAGCTTGATTATTATTATTATTCTGTGCAATTCTGTGTTTGTTTCTAGTAAGTTCTATTTTTTGGCGCTTTTGTAGCTTTTGTGTTTTTTGCGCATGCGCAGATAATTTAGTTTGAATTTTTTTTACGACCGCAGCGCCAGTTCTAAGATAGTGAAGTTAGCTGACAGCTGTCAATTTTTATTAAAATATTTTAATCATTTTTTTTTTATTAAAAAAAATTATTTTAAAAAAATTTGACAAGTAAAAAATTAAAAAAAATATTTTTTAGTAATTTAAAAAGTAAAATTTGTTTTAAGTTTTATAAAAAAACAATTAAAATTAAAAAATACTTAAAAAAATTATTAAAATTAATTTAGCAGATATATTTAATCAATTTTTATGAAAATTAAATTAGTCACCTAAAAATTATTATGATTTTTTTTATTAAAGAATTATTACAAGAAAATAAAAAAAAATTTTTTCATTTGTTAAAAATTTCAAAAACTATGAGTGCAATTTTTTAAAAATATTTTTTAATTATAATTTAATAAAAAAATAAAAAATGTCGGCTAACTTTATTGTTATTTAATTTCTTTAAGTTTTGTAAAAAATCAATTTAAATTAAAAATTACTAAAATTAATTTAGGTATTTGACAATTTTAAGAATTTTTTTAATATATAAATTAAGACAAAAAAAAATGAGTAAAAAAATTGACATGTAAAAAGTTTAATAAATTAAACAAACAATTTTTTTAAAAATAATTTTTCTTGTTAAATAAAATTAAAAAATTGTAAAGTGACAGCTAACTTTAATATCATTAAAAAATTTTAACTGAAAATTTTTATAGCATTTAAAATTAGCACTGCTCATTTTTCCATTTTATTTAGCAAAAATAATTGTATTGTTAATTTTTTTAATTTCTGAATGTCAATTTTTTTATTTTTTTTACATAATTACTTTTTTTAAATTATTAAACATCAGTTAAATTAATTATTTTTTAATTATAAATTTGTTAAATTAATTTTTACAAGTGGAATTTTTTTCATATAAAATTTTTAATGTCAGTTAACTTCAGTTTAGTGTTTTGCTAGAACTTACCAGCTGTTGGAGAAAACGGGTGCTACAAAATGACGGCTCAAGCTTCTTCTATGCAAGTCACTCTGTTATTTCCTTTTTTTTTTAGAATTTTTTTAAGAAAGTAAGTAGTTTTTATTGTAAATAATTAGTAATTTATAATTATTTATATTAATTATCAATAATTTTTATTATAAATATGACATTTAATTTTTTAATATTAAAAAAAAAAAAAAATTGCATTTATAATTTTTTTAAATTGAAGAAAATTTTTTTAGCTATAATTAGCTAAAATTCTTTAATAATTCCATTTTTTTATTTTTTTTTTTTTTAATTAAAGTCAAATTAAAAAAGTAATTTTGTCAAAAAAAATTTTATTATTTATAAATAAATTATTTTTAGGATATTTTGGTGAAAAAATTGATCAAGAATTCTTATTGATCCTGATTTAGCTGTTGGGTAAGTAATTTAAATTAATTATAATTATAACAATTAAAAGAATTCATAAAAATTCAACAAACAGTTGAACGTCAAACTAACCGAGTGATTATCATTATGATTATTTGATTATTATAAAAATTTACCCACTGAGCTTCATATAAGTGAATTAAGTGAATTAAGTGAATACCTCCTGTACCTCCTGGTATTTTATGTTCTCCTGATACAATTTAAGATTTTCTGGCTCGAAATATGGCCGTACGGCGCAAGTTTCTCATTGAATCTCATAGAATCCAATAGAAAACAACTCTCAGTAAGTGTTTAGTGTAACCTAACTTTTATGTAAACTGAAAAGTGTCAACAATCCAGGTATGTATTTATTTACTTATTTATTTATTTATTAACAAATATTAATAAATTAATCTAGTTCAATATTTTAAATACTGAAAATTAATAAGATAAAAATTAACAGCAGATATTTGATAATTTTAATAATCTTTTAACAAAAATTATTTATGACAAAAAAATTGACACTTGAAATTAAAAATACATTTTTTTTTTTTTAATTATTTTTTGGAGTTAATATGTTAATTAAAAAATAATCAAGACTGCTATATTTAATGTCATTAATTAATGAAAATTAATTTAGCAAATGTTTATTAAATTTTTATGACAAATTGTGTCAAACAAAAAAAATGGTCTATCTATTTATTTTGGAATAAATTAAATAACTCTGCAAAAATAATCTTTTTTTAAATTGTTTCAAAAAAAGTTTCAAAATTGTTCTAAATCCCAAGCGGGACATATTTATTTTTTTTAATGTTTTGTTGAATTTAAGTTGACGATTATTAATTTTTGAACTTCTTGTTGAGTGAAATTTACCAAAAAGTCAACATTTTTTTTTTTTTGTGATAAATAAATGTTTTAAGATTATTGAAAAAAATATTTCACATAAAATTTTAAAGACAAAATTTCAACTAAATTGTTTAAAATAAAACCCGTTGATTCTAAAATTGTCTAAAAAGTATTTCAAAAATGTTAAAAAAAATACTTAAAACTCACAACAAAAGGCGCGAAAGATTTAAAAATATTTGTATATTATTTTAATCACTCAAATTATAAAAAATGAGATTATGAGGCGTGCACTTTTAAATTTTCCAAACTTTTTAGCGCTTATGTTAGTAACTGGGTACCCAGCGCGGTATATTTATATGAATAACTCAAAAAAAATTCAATATTTTATCTTAAGCTCTCAAATTGTCGTTTTTTAACTCAAAAGAAAGTTAGTTGTGAGTGCATTTAATTAATTAATTTGTTTTTTTTTTTTAAATAAGCCTAAACTGTAAAGTTGGTTACTAACATAAGGGTTAAATTATTTTATAATTAACTAATGTTAAGATGATGTATAGTGCCGATTAATGTAATAAGAAAAATAAATAAAAATAATCTCTAGATAAAAAAAAAATGGAGGAAACAGAAAACATGGACGTAGACTTGAAAGATTCCATGGAGGTAGACTTGAAAGATTCCGATTCTGAATCATCAGCTTCGTCGGACGACGAAGAGTCAAAAACAGAGTTGCAAAATTTAGAATCAAAGCTGGCAGAGAATCCTTATGATTACTCTAGCCACATCTCCTTAATAGGAAAGCTTCAAAGCTTAGGTGAGCTGGATGAGCTGAGAAAAGCAAGAGAAGAGATGAGCAAGATCTATCCCTTGTCTCCAGATTTGTGGTTATCCTGGCTAAGAGATGAAATGAGAATAGCTATAAGCGCTGAGGAAAAGAAAGCAGTGAAGGAATTATTCGAGCGCGCTGTTGAAGACTACCTCTCTCCAGAAGTCTGGCTGGAGTATGTCCAGTTTGCGATTGGAGTTTCCAGCTCTGAAGAAGTCAGAGAGCTATTTGAAAGAGCGTTGACCGCTACTGGACTCCACGTGACCTTCGGAGCTGTTATTTGGGAAGCTTTTCGGGAATATGAAAGAATCCTGAGCTCCTCGATGGAAGGAACTGCTAAAGAAGAGCAGGTTAATAGGGTTGGTGCTCTCTTTCGAAGACAGCTGGCCTGTCCGCTCCAGGATATGGACAAGACTTTTGAGGAATATCAGCAATGGCGACTAGGTGAAGGCAAGGAGGCTAATATCAGTGATGAGGTCGTTAAAGGAGGGTATCAGAGGGCGGTTAAGGATCTAGAGGATCGCAGAGGGTATGAAGACAAGCTTCTTTCCTGCCAGGCTGATGATGAGCGGTTTGATACTTATAAGATGTACTTGGAGTATGAAAAGCTTCATGGAGATCCTGGAAGGGTTTCCGTGCTTTTTGAGAGGGCCATTACTGAGCTTAGTCTTGAAGCTAGGCTTTGGGAAGATTATATTAAGGTAAAATAAAGTAAAATTCTAAGGTAAAGGCACTAATTAGTGACGGATCCAATTATTGACACGCTATAAAAAAAATCAACATAGAAAAGTATGGATTTGTATAGGAAGTGTGGATTCCTAACGGAATCCACACGGGAACCTGTGGATACATGGATTCCTATATGGAAAATCCAGATAAAAAATATGAATTTCTATAGGAATCCACATAGGAACCTGTGGGTTGATGGATTCCTGTATGGGAAATCCACATCGGAAGTATGGATTCCTATAGTGAATTTATATAAGTAGAATAAACATAGACCTTGTTAGAACGTGACTTAGGCCAGTGAGTAGCGTAGAAGACTGTCACCCATGAGGTACCGGGTTCAAGTCCATCAGACGCCAGCAGTTTTTTCATTAGATAAAATTACAAAATCCCTTTTTCACAATTTATTTCAATTAATAATTAATTGATAGCAATTACTTAATAATTATTTTTAATTTTTTAAATAAATTTTTTTTCGCCTGATTAATACGGGAATCTATGGAGGATCCTATCCTGGATTCCTATATAGGAAACCATATGGGAATCTAGCCGAAAACGCCATGTGGGAATCCAGGCTGGTTTCCCATATGGATTTTTTTGATCGGGAAGTCACTTGCGGTTTTGGAAATCCCGCAGATTCGATATTTATACGATATTAATGCTGTATGTTTACCTACTTCAGTTATTTTAGCCAGATTTTGCGGAATTATTACAGAAAAATTACGAAATAAATTCAGAATATTTACGGCAATACAATAGGAATATTACGGAATATTAACACCATTCAGTAAATGTACCGCATATTTACTGTATACTTATTTACTCATCTTTGAACTTTGAAAACGTCATATAGGAATCCAGGCTGGTTTCCCACATGGATTTTTTTAACCGGAAAATCTTATTTATCTACAATATTAATAACAATTTTTTTATACAAGAATTAAAAAAAATTAATGAGGAAGATTCATTAATTAAAATAATAAAGTTTAGTATTCTTAAACTCGTAAAATAAACTAGAAGTAAGCACTAAAATTCCCAGATTTTTAATTATTTTTTAAACTAATAAAATTAAACATTTTTTCTTAATAAATAAATTAAGTATTAAAAATTAACAGTATCGGATATTTATATTCAACTGAATGGTTATTAATTATAAAATAATTGGTGTCAATAATTGGTACACAAAATATATGAATCTGATATTGACAGGTGAGTTTATACCAAGCTGTAACCTCTCCAATCAGACTTTACTTATTGTATTTAGATCAAATTAATGGTAACAAGTAAGCATTAAGGGTGTCAATAATTGGTCCAACGGTATGTCACTAGTTGGATCAATCGATTTATCAGCCTATCAATAATTGGTCTATCCGGATGATTGACTTTGTCGATTGAAATTAATTATTAAACTTGAGAAAATATTATTAAAAAGCATTAATTTTGTTTCTCAAAAGATTAATTAATATAATGTAAAACAAAAAATTGGACAGTCTTAATTTAAAATATGTTTAAAAAAATGAAATTCTCACTTTTGTTAAATTGCACAGTACTTTATTAACTATTGACGTTTTTAAAGATATAAGCTCATCTCGATGTTACACTCATTAAGAGCTTTCATTTGAGTATTTTTATATATTTTTAATATATACATATATATATAATATACATAAATATATTAAATATATAAAAAATTGATGTAGGTACTCAAATGAAAGGTCTTGACTAGTATAAGGTCAGAATGAGCTTATATCTTTGAAAATGTTAATAGTTTACATATTATAATTAAAAATCTTAATCGTCTCAATAATTGGTGCTTTTACCTAAGTACAGAAGTTTAAATTGCCAACTAATTAATCAATACTTACAGTACTCAGTCTCAACAATAAAAATAGAGCCCATCATAGAACGAATTTACCACCGAGCAACACGAAACGTGCCTTGGTGCGCGAACATATGGCGCCAATGGATGAGATCTCTAGAAAAATGGAACAAGCCTTTGATGGAGATCCAAACAAAATTAGAGCAAGCTCTAACCGCTGGATTTTCAACAGCAGAAGACTACAGGTCGCTCTGGATGACCTTCCTGGAATACTTACGCCGCCGTCTTGACACAGACAACAGAGCCGAAGAGGAAAAAGCGCTGGAGACCATCAGAGCTGCGTTCAATCGTGCAGCAGAGCACCTCGCTAAATTATTTGGACTTGCTGGAGACCCCCAGTGTACAATTCTCCAGTTCTGGGCCCGTACTGAGGCCATTCATGGCAAAAAGATGGACAAGGCCAGACAACTTTGGGCTGATATTATGTCCCAAGGACACTCTGAGACCGCTGGAATGTGGCTGGAGTACGTAGCTCTGGAGAAATGCTGTGGCGATACTAAACCTCTTAGGAAATTATTCACAAAAGCTCTTGCCGCGGTTAAAGATTGGCCGGAGACGATTTGTAATGCCTGGCTTGATTTTGAGCGGGATGAAGGTACTCTGGAGCAAGTTGAGTTCTGCGAGGCTAAAATTAAGGAAAAGATGGAGAAAGTTTTGGAACAAAGGGCGAAAATTACAGAGGTTAGTTATTAAAACAAAAATATTTTTTTTTTCCCTCTTAAATTTTCAATTTAAAACACTTATTTTAATTATATTAATAATTTAAATCTTCCCGGGTTAAGAAAGTTTCTTGAATTTTCTGTAAGATGGCGTTGCGCACCGGATCCAGAACTACGTCACTCTCCCGCCAAAATTCAAATTCAAAAAATTTTTAATTTAAAACTTACCTGGACAAATTATTATAATTTTTTTTTCTTTTTTTTATTAATAATTTTTAATAAACTTCGTAATAACCTAATTGAGAAATAAAAAAAGTATATTTAATTTACTTTTAAAGAAAGTTGAAGAGGACAAAAGTCCAAAGATTCAAAAGCCGGTAAAGAGGAAGCTTCCAGAGGGAAAATGGAAGAACCTAGACGCCAAAATCGCTAAAAAAGAAGAAAAACCTGAAGTTCATTCTGAAAAACACGACAAGGAAGATGTTGATCCTCAGATCACAGTCTTCGTCAGCAATCTAGACTATGAGTCAACTGAGCAAGATATTCGCGACGCTCTAGTTTCTGTTGGGACTATCACCAAGCTCAAGTTGGTGAAAGACTTTCGCGGAAGAAATAAAGGATTCGCTTATGTCCAGCTCAGTGATACGGTAAGTTTTTTTTTTTATTTTTACTTTAGATCAGGTTAATTTAAGTAGAATGATTGATTTTATCGTTAGTTTTTTTGCAGAAAGCAGTTAGCGATGCGTTGAAACTAGACCGTACGCCTATCAAAGGTCGACCTATGTTTATTTCTAGATGCGATCCTGATAAAACTACTCGTGGTACTGCGTTCAAGTATCAGTGTGCTTTGGAGAAAAATAAATTGTTTGTTAAAGGTAATTTATTTATAATAAGTAATTATATCTTCTAAAATATTAAAGATAGGCTTGTAGTATAAAAACGTTTTTTGTAGGAAATTTTCTAAGCTACAATTTTAGTCTATTAAATAGTGGTGATGCTATTTAACTAGATTTTGCTAGTTCAGAGAGCCAGATTTTTCACTCAGGGTAGCCTAAAAATCAAGCTTCCAACGATTAGTTACATTAAATCGTTAGTTTTGATATCACAAGTTTTAAATGATCTGGCAATTTTATAATTATAAAAAATTCATAAAAACTCGGTGGAATTTTTTTTAAAGGTTGTTGAAAATAATCCTAAAATTTAGTTGGTGATTTTTAAAAGTAATTATAAGAAAACTATAAATGCATTAAAAATAATTCCATGAATTTAAGCTTTCTATTAGCTAAAAATCAAGATTCCAAAGTTTTGTCACACTAAATCGTATTATTGCACGCCTCATAGCGCGAAGCGCGTGAGGTTGTGCTTTATACTCGACTCGTCAAGGTCAAGCAATTTTGTGATCTTTAAATGCCTCTATCACAACCATATTACACTTATACAATAATATAAGTAAATGTACACCGAGAAAACACTTAAATTAAACCATCTTTTACTTTCTAAAATCATTTCATGTTGCTATTTTGAAAAAAAAAAAAAAAACGTTTTGAAAAAAATTTTACGTGGACGTCCTGATGTCACTCCATTTTGGATGTAACAACGATTACTCCCGAACAAATAGATATTTCAAGACCGGACCTTTTTTATTAGTTTAAGAATTCGATTAACTGGGTCCGTATTTAATATCAGTAGCCTAGTTTACATATTTTTTTTTTTAAATTGAATTTTTATTAAAATTCACTACGATACAACCGTACAAAGACAAACGAACTTTTCTTATTTGTCACGTGAAAACTATGGCGCCACTTGATCAAGCTAGATTTTTTTAGACTAAGTGCGCATGTGACAAGAAAAAAGAGCGCCGATATTTAAAAAAAAAATAAGAAATTACTTAATTATTTATTTTTTTCTTAAAAAATGAATGAGCGTTATGAGGCGTGCACTTTTGAAATTTCCAAACTTTTTGAAATAGTCACTTTTAATAAAAAATTTCAGGACTGCCCTTAACAACAACAAAAGAAGACTTAGAAAAAATATTCCAAGCCTATGGTTCCCTGAAAGATGTGCGCCTAGTAACTTACCGCAACGGTCACTCAAAAGGACTAGCATATGTGGACTACAAGGACGAAGGAAGCGCCTCAAAAGCGCTGCTAGCCACAGACGGAATGAAGATAGAGGACAAGGAAATTTCCGTGGCTTACAGCCAGCCTCCGGAGCGCAAAAAGCCGGAGTCAAGTTCCGAAATTCCGAGTCTCCTTGGTCAGATAAAATCCCTAGGAGGCTCCAGCGTCGCTCGGAGTAACCCCGGCCGGCAGAAGACCATGCTCTCCATGGTCCCCCGCAGTGTTGTCGCTCCGAGCAACGGTGTTAAGGATAAAAAGCCGAAGAGCAACGCTGAATTTAGAAACATGTTTTTGAATAAATAAAAATTATTATTATTAATTATATAAAAAATTATTAAATTAAGTAACAAGTGTGTTTTATTAATCAACCCTCGGAGTACACTGGGGGTCATTTTAACCCCAGAATTTTTTTTCCTAAAATATTTTTTGAAAATATTTTCGTTTTCTAATTAATTAAAAAATCTATTTTTTTACATTTTCTTTAAGTATAATATCTTAAAAATATTATCTGAAAATTTTAAGTGAATTCGACAAAAACTTTTCGAGTTATTCGACAAATAATGAAGGGCGCTGTTGGTTTTTTCCCGAAAATCTAGAGAAAAATTCCCTGGGGTCGTTTCGCCATTTTGTTAATTTTTAAAGAAAAAAAGAAAACTTCGACCGTCTATTTTTTTCTCATGCAAAAATTTCTTGCGACAAAAATTCTCAGCAATTTATTCGATATTATTTTCTCATAAAAAAATGTATTTAAATATTTATAGTTAATGTATTGGTCTAAAATATCGAATAAACACAATATTTTATATTAAAATATTTTGACGTAGGTAATTTTTGCGGATTAATAAAGGCGGAGAGCCAAAATTTGACCCTGTGTGTACTCTAAAGCACTGTTTGGAGGTGTGTACTCCGAGGGTTAATATACAAATTATAAATGAAGCGCTGATGATCGTTTCTGCCTTGGAGGCGCTACTGGTGCTGGCTCTGGAGCGCACCGCGACCTTAGCCATTTTTTCGCATGCCCAAAGTGGTAGTAGTACAAGTAGATCAGTCCCAAAGCCGCCAGGACTATCAGGAGAGTCGTTCCGACTATTATGAAGTTCAAGTACCAGTATGGAAGGATTTCTGTGAATTCTGGAGTCTCTGGAGACTCTGTGGAGCTTGAAGGCGTCTTCGTGGACTCTGGAGTTTCCGGTAGAGATAGTGGCGGGTAGTTGTCTCCGATTGTCACATCAGCGCAGCCACGGAACTCTTCCTGCGGGCCGCAACCCACTGCACCTGTAACACGTTAAGTTACTTTCTCCCTTGCGACAGTCGACGCTTCTGCTTTCTAAATTAAACGCTTGTTGAATGCTAATTATTGATATTTAGTTTTTAAAAAATTAGAAATTGAAAAAATGGTTACATTTTGAGAAATATCAAATTTAGAGAGTTCCCTATCAAAAAAATCCATATGAGAAACCAGCCTGGATTCCTACATAGCGTTTTTGGATAAATTCCTATGTGGTTTCCTATACTGATAGAAGGATTTAGTTCTATTTAATAAGATTTAGTAACAGATACTATATGATTTAGTAACAAACCTTTCATTACCAAATGTTTACTGAATGCTGTTAATATTCCATAATATTCCTATTGTATAGCCGTAAATATTCTGAATTTATTTCGTGATTTTTCTGTAATAATTCCGCAAAATCTGGCTAAAATAACTGAAGTAGTTAAACATACAGCATTAATATCGTATAAATATCGAATCTGTGGGATTTCCAAAACCGCAAGTGACTTCCCTATCAAAAAAATCCATATAGGAAACCAGCCTGGATTCCCACATGGCGTTTTCGGATAGATTCCCATATGGTTTCCTATATAGGAATCCAGGGTAGGATCCTACATAGATTCCCATATTAATCAGGCGAAAAAAAATTTATTTAAAAAATTAAAAATAATTATGAAGTAATTGCTATTAACTAATTATTAATTGAAATAAATTGTGAAAAAGGGATTTTGTAATTTTATCTAATGAAAAAACTGCTGGCGTCTGATGGACTTGAACCCGGTACCTCATGGGTGACAGTCTTCTACGCTACTCACTGGCCTAAGTCACGTTCTAACAAGGTCTATGTTTATTCCACTTGTATAAATTCACTATAGGAATCTATATTTCCGATGTGGATTTCCCATACAGGAATCCATCAACCTACAGGTTCCTATGTGGATTCCTATAGAAATTCATATTTCCTATGTGGATTTTCTATATAGGAATCCATGTATCCACAGGTTCCCGTGTGGATTCCGTTAGGAATCCACACTTCCTATACGAATCAATACTTTCCTACATAAATTCTCATATAAACTCATGTGGATTTTTTTGATAGGAAATTTCAACAAATTTTATATTAGGTAATTATTAATATTCTATATCTTTAAAAATATCAAAGTTAAAGGTTTTTTTGTTTATAAAAAAAAAATTTAATTATTTTTAACAAAACTTATATAGTAGGAAGAAAAGAAGAGTAACCCAATAATTATAATTATATTTGTTACCTGTTCCGTTACCACAGTCGCCCCAATTGTTACCGGCGACGTAACGCCACTGCAGGACGCACTGGCCACACGTCATGTCCTCAGGTAATTTATAGTATGCCTCGAAGATTTTATTACCGGGTCCCGGGTAGTATCGCGCGGTTCCGTTCTTCATCGTGAGAATATTTTTTGACAAGCATTCTTGAGTGACCTCCCGGCCTCGGGTGGTCATTGGGCAAACTCCGAACTCAAAATATCCTCGGTGGTTCGCTGTTATTTGGATTTTTATGGGTATCAATTGGTTCGTTTTGTATTTACGAACTATTATACTGTTTCCGTATTTTCCGCCGGTTTCGTGGGCTCTAGGCTGGAATTTTTTAGATGATTAAGAGCTACATAAATTCAATTTCAAGTCAATATTAATGATATTTATTACTTTTAGCATTCAATAAATTAACTCAAAAATTTTTGGCATTGATTTTGAGCATCAATGCAATCTAAAAACATTTTGTAGCATTAAAAAAGCTACTCAAATTCAATTTTAAGTCGATATTAATGACATTTATTACTTTTACCATTTAGAAAATAATTAAAAATCATTTTACATTGATTTTGAGCGTCCATGTAATCAAAAAAAATATTAAGCTTATTAAAAGCTACTCAAATTCAATTTCAAGGTGATATTAATGACAAAAAATACTCTTAGGACCTAAAACATTGACTCGAAATTTTTTTGCATTGATTTTGAGCGTCAGTGTCATCCAAAAAAATTATTAACCTCATAAAGAGCTACTTAAATTCAATTTTAAGATGATATTAATGATTAATATCACTGTTAATGCTCAAAAAATGACTCAAAATTATTTTACATTGTTTTTGAGCGTCAATGCAGTCTAAAAATATTTTTAAGCGTATGAAAAGCTACTTAAATTCAATTTTAAGGCGATATTAATGACATATATTACTATTAGCACTCAGAAAATTGACTCAAAATTATTTTTAATTGATTTTGAGCGTCAATGCAGTCCTAAAAATTTATTAAACGTATAGGAAGCTACTTAAAAACAATTTTAAGGTGATATTAATGACAAATATTATTTTTACCATTCAAAACATTGACTCAAAATTTTCTTACATTGATTTTGAGCGTCAAGGTAATCTAAAAAAATTATTTAACTTATACGAAGCTACTTAAATACAATCTTAAGGTGATATTAATGACATATATTACTTTTAGCACTCATAACAGTGATTCAAAATTGTTTTGCGTTGATTTTTAGCGTCAATACACTCTACAAACATTCTTAAGCGTATAAAAAGCTACTTAAAACGTTGTCCCAATTTTTTTGCATTGATTTTGACTGTCATAAAAATTTTTTTCCCACACAAAGACTCACTTAATATAAATTAACTACAATAAATTTCCGATTTAAGATTGAATGAATTATTTATAAATTCAAAAAAAAAAATTTCCATAAAATATTCCATGAACCACAAACATGAGCCACCTATAAAAGGTGACTAATAATAACAAAAAAAAAAAGAAATAATTTACCGGTTTAATATCCCAAGCGTCGCCACAGATTCCACAGTTTCCTTTATTCCGTTGCCATTGTCGCGTGAAACCGCCGCAATAGCACTCATTATCATTGTAATCATGAGGCGAATCAAATCCGTACCTCCACATAGAAGCCCTGGAAGGAGGCTCGATAAGTCTTCCATGTCCTTTAACACTCGCCGCAAAAATTAAGACCACCCAGAGCTTCATCCTGGAGATAGCTCTTCTTCAAAACTGACTTTACAATAAAATTATCCTTTATATATTAATTACAACACACATATTAATTAATTCTATTGAAACAATACAATTTTAAATATTCCAGTCACAAATTTATCTAGGAATTTCTATTGTATTAATTGATTATTGAATTGACATATTAATTATATTAATTCTCCTTGAAGAATAAGAATTATTGTGAGAGGAGCGTTTGAACCGGTTGTTAAAGCCGAACTGAACTTTGTTGCTGACTTTGAGGTAAACTCCGCTGTTGAGAAACTGTACAGTTGGATAAAGTATGCATTGGGATTGGGGAAAGGAACACAGCGGAAATTCAATGCATTACCGTACTACGTCCACTTACACCATATCGCTCATCAGTAGGTCACTATTATACACTCGAATATCGCTTCTATAGCGCCTAGAACAACTAACCGGCTGTGACCCTCTTTTGTAGTCAATTTTTTTTTGTTTGGGAGCTTTAAGATTGATTATAGGTCAAGAAGTCTTAGAATTAACTCAAATTATGCGAAAATTGGTAATATCGTACTAAAATACTAGATTAGAAGGTTTTTACGGGATTTTTTAACGTTTTAGACTGGATTGGTGCTAAAAATTGATGTAAAATCATTTTAGTCAATGTTTATTAAGAAAAATAGTGATATTTGCTATTAATATCGCCTCAAAATGTAAATTTGGGAGGTTTTTAGGAGATTTGTGATGTTTTTAAGCTGCATTGACGCTAAAAATCAACCCAGAAGTGTTAATATTAATAATATAAACGGGTAATTGTGATATTTGCTATTAATATCGCTTTAAGATTTAAATTCAGAAGGTTTTTATGGAACTTTCGATGGTTTAGACTACATTGAGGTTCAAAATCAATGTAAAATTATTTTAGTCAATGTTTAATAAGTAAAATAGTGATATTTGCTATTAATATCGCCTTAAATTACTAATTTAGGAAGTATTTTATGTTTTGAGACTATATTAATGCTCAAAATCAATGCAGAATTACTAATATTAAAGACTAGCTGTTACCCGCCTGCTCCGCTGGGCACTATAGAATTGAATTTTAAGATCTAGACTTGAAATTCAATTGAAGTATTGTTTTGACTTGCACAGATTCCAAATTCTATCGGATTGGCCTGTACCTTTTATCCATGTCATCATTCTAGCGAATATCCATTGTAACTTACAATGTGCAATCACTATAACATTCCCGTGGCTTTCTCCAAAAATAAATAATAATTTTGGATTTACGATTTCAAGATTTGATTTTACGAAATCTCTTAAAATGAGTAGCCAAATTTCTTTTCCCTATCTCAAGTGTTTAGAAAATGTATTCATTTTAATCTGTTACATTCCCGCGATCCCGTAATAAGAACAATTCATCGGTTATGTGATCAGCAATAATAAAATGTATGCAAAATACTCAGTCCGTTGACTATATAGCTACATGTAAAGTTGAATTTTAGAAATCTTACAATGACCTTTTCGCCGCTGCCAAAGAGACGATTGTTGTAAGAAAATATAATTATCAATAAAAAAGGAAAATCTTTTAATCCGTTGACCTTGGAGGCCATCCCTGTAATTACCTGTTTCTCTTGAGATTCTATGAAATTTTATATCTGTAGAAAATATATTTGAAGAATATGAATTTTTTGACAACTATCACTCCCGCACTCCTATGTGAGAGAGAAATTTCGTAAAATCCTATTCGAGATGATTTTTACATTATAAATAAAATATTCCAACAAAACTTCGAGCCCATGGAAATTATTGTTTTGAAAAGAGAGATTTTCATTGTTAACGCCTCCGCAGTCCCTTTTGGGGTTGGAATTTGATAAAATTCATTCTTAGCTGAACTTAACATACACGACGAAGACTCCCACCAAATTTGAAGTCTGTCGAAGTTACAGTTTGAAAACGAAAATTTTAGATTTTAACACCCACCCCCGCAATTTCTATCGGAAGGAAACTTTATTTAAATCCATTTTGAGATGATCTTTACAGGAGAAATAAAAGATTTCTACCAAATTTAGAGTTTTCAGAAGCTATATTTTGGAAATGAACAGTTTTTATCGTCAACACCCACTCCCGCGATCCTTATTGGAGGTGATTCGTTGTAAAATCCGTTCTTAGATCATTTATATATCACATATAGAAGATTCCTACTAAATTTGAAGTCTATAGGAGCTATAGCTTGGAAATTAAAAATTTTAATTGTTAATACCCACCCCCACAAACCCCTGTGAGGTGAGCTATCGTAAAATTCGTTCCTATATTATTTCTACATCTCTTACAGAAAATTCCTACCCAATTTGGAGTCTATTGAA